CTGGAAAGAAATTGCTTGTTCTTTTTAGAGGTTTCTCCAGTGAAAAGCAACTCCTATAGATGTGATTTTGTTTCCTTCCCTTTTCTGCTAAAATCGTTTGGAAGCTGAACTGAGAAGTAAAATCACATTTACTTCTCTCAGAGTCGTAACATTACAACTTGTGTGTATTGATTTTACTCTTTGAACACAGGACGTTTCCCAGTGCTTTGAGTTTGCTAAGTATTTCCAGGCATATAGTAGAGAGTAATGACCCTAAAGCATGGCAGGGCTGGAGACTTCAGAGCATCTGCTTGTTACTTTTCAGAGTGACTTTTGTGAACTGGAACAGTTAGAAAATCGAATGAGGAGCCCCCTTCTTGGTATCCCTTAACCACGTGAGACCAGCCTAATTCATGAGGCCTTGGGGTCCAGTGGGAGAAAGCTGAGGTGTCCTGAGGCATTAATGTCTTGATAGAACCACTGGAAAGCACTGGCTTCTACTTTGCCATGATTCAAGCAGAGTTTTATCTTGAGAGGAGCTGCTGTTAAGAATTGATCTGAATTCTATCCATTGTTTTGTTGATAGCATTTTACCCATTAGTTAATAGATTGCTTCAGAACTTTAAATAAAGAGGGCTCTTAAAGTATTGGCTATATATCAACAGTTACATATAACATGTCAACCAAATGAGTTGGGAAATGCTGGGCTGATTTTTGGGGATACGCCTTGGTTCAGATCCGTAGCTGTCCTTGACCTGGCTGGGTTGGACCCTAAAGAGGAGCTGCGGCATAGAAGATTTATATGTGGAAATACACTTGCAAGGAACATTTCTTGAGAACTGATACTTTTTTAAGTTTTGCAGATTATTTTAAAAAATAGGAAGTTTTTAAGAAGAGACTGGACAGCTATTTGTCTGAAATGGTGTAGGGTTCCTGCCTGAGCAGGGGGTTGGACTTGATGACCTCCAAGGTCCCTTCCAACTTTATAATTATTATTATTAAACTACAGACTTGATTTTAATCAGGCACTTTTTTAAAAAAAAAGTAGGTTGTTTTGGCAATAAGAGTTTTAGGGGAAACAATCTCTGGGCAGAATTGCTTTATCCACTTTCACTCAGTACTTTGGGGGGAAAAAGACTGTGCAGTGTAAAGAATGGAAAACACACTCCCAAACCGCTTCATGCAACTGAGCTAAACAGTGACGCTCTCACAGAAGCCTTACTGCTGTACTGGGAGATGCTATTGTTTATTATTTTTATTACTAATTTACAGTAAAATTTTATATTCTGTAATAAGATTGTACAGGAATTAATGGATACAGTCCTACTTTTTCAATGTTGCTGCATGTAGTAATATGCATTCATATTGGTTTGGAAGAATGTATGTTCCAAAATCCATGTCATCAAAGAAATAAAAATGTTTTTTAAAATTCTAGATTTTAGATGATATATATTTAAATCATCATTTTTACTGCTTAAATAGAACAGAAAAATTTTATTAGACTCCATGCAAAGTATTGTATATTTTACTAAATGGTGCATACTCCTAAAACTCTATCTTTAAAGTGTGTGGCACAGTAGGTTAAAAGCCTTATGTGCTTAGTGGCATCCAGGCAGATTTGGGCCATCATTCAGGGCATCCTTGGGCGATGGTTCTCCCACTGCCATTCTTTGGGCAGATACCAGAGCCCTACAGCCTGTTCCTGGTTCAGTTCAGGACGGCTCCCACACTGAGGCTGTAAGCTTTGGGACTTCTGTCCAATTGGGCAGAGGCTGAGACAGTGCAACATGCTTAGTTCAAAGTGCATGTTACCAAGAATGATTAAAAAGGCCTTTTTAATCATTCTTGGTAACATACACTTTGAACTAAGCATGTAAAGGCTTTAAACTATTTTGCTCGGCATCACCACAACAGCCCTCTTTGGAAGAAAAAGAACCGTGTTCCCCATAATAGCAGAGATTACATGGGATCTCAATTAAACCGATCGTATGGTGAGCATTCTTGAAATGAGCCATCCTTTCCTTCTTGCTGCAAGAAGCATAGATTCGTTGTATTTATTTCTTATGGGAGATAGCAGAAAGCCCCGAACACGTGGTTGGGTTGGAAATCTGGGATTCCATATATATAGCTGTGTTGGATTCGTTCTCTCATCACCCCACAATAATCACTCACTTTCCAAGCGGGAAAGGTGGTTGCCTTCAGGAGGGAGGGACGCTTGGGCTGAAGAGAGCAAGAGTTCCTGGGAGCTTATGAGAATTTGGCGGAAAATCCAGGAAGTGGAACTTTCTCATTGATTGAACAATTGAATTGTTATGAAACAAAATAACTCAAGCTGTGGGAGGAGGACCTTGGTGGTACTTGAGCTACTCAGGAAGCAATGTGAATAGCAGCCATGAGGCCACCCAGAAGAGCCACCCTTAACATACACCTTCTTGACTCTCATTCTGGCGGCTACAAGTAGGAGTAGGCTATCCTCTGCCAGATGACGCATGTCCCCTCCTCCTTGAAGGTCCTCTTCCAGGGGCTATTAGTTTGGTTCTCCAAGTATGTTTCATATAAGATGTATTTTCCCATTGTTTCAAGCAGAAAACGGTCCATAAATGTATATTTCATGCTGTCAAAATTTACTAGTGTGAGTACAATTTTGAAAAAGCAGCTTGATCAATTGACTTCTGTAGGAAGAGAACTTGCATAACCGTGCGGGAGACTATTGTCTGATATTTTTATGCAGACAAACTGCCATCCAAAACTGCCTCTAGTATTATTTGGAGTCTTCCATATCTCAAAATATATTCTGAGCGCTTGTTGTCTGCTGGGTATTTTGGTACTGTTTCTACAGATTTTTTTTTTTCTTGTATTAGTAAGCCTCTGGAAACTTGTAACTTCAGAGTCACCTTACAGGGGAGAGGGGCAGCATAAAAATTTAATAAATTAAATAATAGTACAATAGTCTGATTATAAAATAATAAAAACCATTAGATGTAAGAAAGTTAAAACTAGATCAAGTCAGAGCTACAACTAAGAATTCAAGGGTCTCTGTTAAGTTTAGATGATGCAGAGCAAAAGTGGTCTCCTGACTGCTAAGAGTTGGAAGCTCAGGGAGAAGGCCCAGTTGCCTGAGGTCCCCCCTTGGCTTCCCCTTTACCCTCAGCAGAGACCTCTCCACATCTGCGATGAAGTTGGTGAGGCCCGATGAAGTTGGTGAGGCCCGGGAGGAACCATCCCTGCCCACTGAGTTCCAGCAGCTCTTTGTCTCTTCTCACCTCCAAATTGCTCCAGATATGAAAAGAAATGTTTTTTTTAATTGCTGAACAAAGGATTAACACACACACACACAAATGCATGTAGAAACACAATACATTCACCAAAGGCACGATTGCCTTGGTATTTGCCTATCTATAATGGACATCCAAGGAATTTTTTTCAGGCCTTTTTGAAAGACTGGCTAAACTAAGCAGGTGGTTACGTTTCTCAGTAGTGAGTCAAGAGGAGAACGAAGATGCAGAAGAGCCATGTCTGAACACAAGGGAAGTTGCTTTGCACTGGACTTGGGTTTCTGCTCAGCCGGGGTCTGAAATGTGCTGGCAAATATCTCTCCATGCTGAAACTCCAAAATACCCTCTTGGTTGAATTGTGACTTCACTAAGCGGAGAACTGGCTATTTACAGACTGCTTAATCTTACCATCTCAGTCAGCCTTTTCTTCTGTTTTTACTTTTTTGTTTGTAACAACAAAATAAAACCTGTGATCAACCAGGGAGGGGGGAAAAACTGACAATCATCTGCAGGTGATCAAATGACTTAAGAGAGCCGGTTTTAATTTGTGTGTGGTTCTCACTATAACAAAGGAAACTTGCTTTTTGTTTTAGAATTGGCAGACTGTTTCCCAACATCTGGACCGAATGAAGTCTGAGACCACATCACTTGTGTTTTGCCGCAAAAATTATTTGATCTTCAAAATTCAGACTGAAAAAGTGCAGTTTGAAATTGCTGCTTGAGGGGGAGGGTTGTAGACTTTGCTTAAAAACATGGTGCAATTATCAACTCCACCAGAGCCTATTCTGCTGCTCTTTTCTATCCTTTTCTGTAAAACAGCTGTCAGGATTTTGTTACACAGAGTTTTCCCCTCTTGCTTGTTCAGAGGGAAAAACTCTGAACAATCTCAGGGCTATCTCTAAGAACAGTGGCACTCTATCTCTCTCTCTCTCTCACTCTCATACACATATAGCCCTCAGATACAACAGCATTGAAAAAAGTGACTTATGACCATTTTTCATGTTTATAACCATTGGCACATCCCCATGGTCATGTGATCAAAATTTGGACACTGGGCAACTGGCTCGAATTTATGATTGTGGCAATGTACTGTGGTCCCCTTTTGTGATCTGACAAATAAAGTCAATGGGGAAGCCAGAGTCACTTAACCATATTACTAATTTAACACCTGCAGCGAGTCACTTAACAACTGTTGACAGGAAAGTAAAATGGCAAAAATAATTTCAATGTCTTGCTTGACAACAGAAGCTTTGGGCTCAATTGTGATTGTAAGTTGAGGGCTACCTGAACCAACGTATTTCTACCCTAACGGATGTGTTGGTCCCTATTGAAAGTCTTTATTATTGGCTCTTTGCCAAGATCATCTGTCTGTCTTCCTGTTATTGTAAATTTCAGTAATTGTTTTAAACCAGGGGTGTCAAACTGCCAGCTCACGGGCCGAATGCGTCACACCAAAACGGCGCCCATCCCATTGCTGGCAATGGGAAAAAAGTCACAATATATCGCAACACATCATGTGACATCACGGTTTGACACCTGTGTTTTAAACACTGAAGGGTCTTGTCCTTGCTGCTGGAATTGGCATCCCAAAAGAGAGGAAGAAGCCCCCCAAAAGCATCTGTAGTTTGAGACTTGTGACTTCATATTCAGCTGTGCTTTTCTCCTTTTAAGCTCTACTTGATTATGACTGGATCCTTTCAGCTGTTGTATATTTGTCCTTTTCTCCCTTTCATTTCATGGATTTAGGTCTATGCACCTTCTCCTAATTCAGATGACTTCAGTAGAGAATCTCCAAGTTATCCATCTCCTAAACTGCCAAGCAGTATGTTTGCTAGCACTTTCTTGTTACAAGGTAAGAAAGTTTGTTGATGATATTTTCAAATTAGATATGAGAGAAAAGGAATAAATAGCATTAGTAACCAAATAAATGAGAATATAATTTATTTTGTTCATGCTGTCAAGAGTATCATGAGATTCATAGGATGTGAATTGGTAATAGCAGTTTAAAGGCATATCTTAAAGTAGATCTGATTAGCATTTTTTTCTTGTGGTTTGGGTACTTAAAACAGAAGTCGGGCTTTCATTGATGACCTCGCTCCTCTGTCCCTTATGGAATAACTGCAGCACCAGCATCATTCTGCCCAGGGGCTAAAGGAGCTCATCTTGGCAGTCTTGACTTTTCTGGATTCTTAGATGTTTAGCCTGCATCTTAGCCACAATGTTCCCAAGGAGGTGAGCATAAAACACAGAACATTGTTAGGTAAAACAAAATTAAAAGAGTACTGGCAAGCTACAATTGCAACTGTTGTATCATTGAGGTTTACAGTGGTTACTTCTTTCTATCTGAATCAAGTAGATTTCTTGTGCCAGTTACATTTCCTCTAGAAAAAGTATCTAATGGCAGTTGATACTTTTACTGCAATAAATTGTCACTACATCTTAAAGCAGGGAGGTTGTATAATTAATGCAGAATCTCTTGTCAATCCAGATCAAGCTAAAAAGGCCAATCCAAGACTCTGAAAATTTGTTTGCTGGGACACATACCAGTGTCAGATCCTTCACTTATTTTTTCAGTTTCTCCTTCAAGAAACTAGGTTCTCACAGTTACACAATATGCTGTTCTTCTGCACAGTTTTTGTGTGCTTGGGATTGAGTTATCCTTGGCTAATGGATAGGCCTCAGACAATTCACTGAAATACCTGGAGTGTTCTTTTGATTTCTGTTTGACTTTCTCTGGGAAAAACTGTTTTGCTATGCAAGACTCAGAAACCAAGAAAGTGAAATTATAAAACAAGTTAGACTTACAATGGTTAGACAGTAATATATCAAAGTTCCTTTCCTCTTTCAAGGGGTGAAGCCAGTACGGTGGCTGCAGACAGAGCCACCTTGTACACTTGGAGCAGGTGCTTCCCAGGTTCAAGGCTGGGGAAAAAGAGCCCTAAGTTCACTGAGTTGAAAGGGTGGGAGGAATGGGTTAATCACACGCCAGGGCAGCTGATCTGAGGGGCTGGGCTTCTGCGTTTTGCAGCAGGCAGCTCTTCTGTATGTTCATCCTTTCTGACCCTCATTAGCAAGCCTGTGGAGGTCCTGCTCTTTGCCTGTTCCTAAATGCAGGGGTGAGTTTCTGAAGAGTAAAAATTGATAGCTGTGCCTGACCAGAAGCCTCAGGTCTCCTGTCTTCTATTTTCATCCAACAATAAAGATGGGACCCACATTGCTTCTGAACTTTGGAGCCCCTCCAATGGAGTGAGCCAGTCGGGTTATGGTGGAATGCTGGAAAGTCCTTCTCACCTGTTGCCCTCCAATAGTTACGGCAGCCGACATCCCCACGAGTGTCTGGTAAGGTAGTGGTGGTGCTGGTGGTGGTGAGGACAGCAATGCCCTGTGTCCCTGTGGAATCAGCTAAAGTGGAGGCCATGGGAAAATCAGTAAGCATTTCCAGTAGCCTCCTTGATGTTTTGGGAAGTCTGTGTATATAACACATTCTTTCCTTTGTCTTCTTAAATTTGTACCCATTATGGTGGATACAGAAAGGCTGACAAATTCCTCTTGATCACAGCAAACTCACCACTCTTGGTGTGGTTCACAGTTCTCAGGAAGTTCATCTTCCAAACCAGAAGAGTTTCTGGTCTTCAGGCATGGCATGGCATGAGCCGGCTGTGCAGAAGTTCAGATTTGTAGGGAGAGAGTTGCTTCAGAGCTTGCTTGTTCTCTAGATATAGTGTCTGGTGATACCTCAATTTAATAAGGTATGAATATAAAAAGTGAAGACTTCTTAAAATATATTTTATATATGGTGTTTGATACTATTTATATTTTCCATACCAGTCAGGTTTACCAGCAACAACAATCAGAAGGAGCTTTCTAAAATTGTGAATCAGCAGCACAATCAATTTCTGCAGAAACACAATGTGATGGCCACTAGAATGAAAAAAAATCTAAGAGTTGCATATTTGTCCTACAGTTGCATAATTCAAATAGGTTTTAAAAAGAAACTTCTTTTTATCACATTAAATATTATTCCATTTTTACAGTGCAGTGCGCTATCAAGGATTGAAAATAAAACTACATAATCTGACTCATTATATTTGCAGTATGCTTACATCAAAGAATTAATAAAGCATAATTATTGTACTACACAAGATTGTTGCAGTTCATCTGTGGGAGGCTTTTGTAAAGACTTGATTCTGAGAAGGGTCATTTTGGGCCTAATAGGAACCTTGGCTTCATATTTCACAAATGAGATTGGATGAGCATTGAGCTCCTTCTGCATGCCTTTCGTCCATCCGGTTGCCCATTCCATTTGAGCCCGCTACACTAAGAATTGTAAAAATAACCTTTAGAATTTGTTATCAGAATTCAGGCTTTAGTTTCCTGAAGTGTTATGAATTTTAGTTATTAACCAATACCTTTAGCAGCATCTGCAGAATGACGGGACCCGAGTTTTTATTTCCAGATGATAGAGAAGGAGAGTTTCCCATCATCTCCAAACTGCCCCACCTCCTTCGTTCAGTTGGCATTGACTTTAATGCCTAAAAATAAAATCTCACATTCAGAGATGATTATGGATTATTGAGGCAAGGTATCTTTCTGCCCTTTGCTTGCTTCATGAACTCTGGTTTAGACCGGATGACATTGTGCTCTTTTTAACTAAGAGTTTAGGGCTACTTTGAATTTTGCTAATATCAAATTGCCACTCTTGTTCCCTTCTTGCACTGTGATTCCATTTCTCTTTTTTCCTAGAACTGTCCTCCTCATTCAGACTCATCAACAGAAGGAAGCACCAGCCTTCCGCCAATGTCCAGCTTCCACCGGGGCAGTAGCAATAATTCATTATATGCTGCCGCTGCCGCCGCCACCACCACCACCACCTCTCATACTCCACCAGTCAACGGCTCGGATACCAGTGTGCTTGGTAAGATCTCTGTGTCCTAAAATCATCCATAAAAATTATAGCTAAGTTGTCAGAATCCAATTATATTTCATCTCTAGTTATCAACTATAGAAAACCCCATTTCTGCCTTCTCTGGATTCTGTCATAAGATGAAGGGAAGGGGGTGAACAAAGGGGCTTTATGGCCCTCACTTCCTTCAGTACACTTCAAAGGGACTGAATGTGGATATCACCAAAAGGACTAACCATAAGAATGGGGCTATTACCTTTCATGTACTCCTCTCTGAAGTCTCCCTCCAGCCGGCAGTAAGGAAAAGGGGGTGGGAGTGTAATGCCTGAGACTATCGCTGGAAGAAAGGGGTGATTGGGTGGGGCTACTGGGGAACCCCTTAAAACCTTGAATGGGAGAGCTTGGACCCCAAGTCCTGTCTAGAACGCCTGCAACCATTTTCTCTTAATAAAGGATGCCTGTTGGAAGAACTATTCCAAGAGTTCTGTCTTAAGATGCAAAGTGGGGTGGGTCCTTACATAAGTTAGTCACAGTTAAGTTGTAATAGTATAATTATCTGCTAAAACTGTAAAAAAAGATTTGTCATGTGGCAAGACTTATAATGTTGGTGTTTTTAGAGTTGGAATATTTTCACATCTCTCTTAATTTGATCTCCACTCTGAGAGCAAAGTCTAGAACACATTTTTCATACTTGTGGGTCACAAAGCTGGTGTGATGGATCTTAGATGGCATTCTATGTTGATCTGGACATTATTTCTGCACTGCTCCAAAATAAATACATGACAATTTTTTTAAAAAGTGATTGGACCAGGAATCATTTTTCTTTGATCATAGTTGAAATATGATTATAACTTCTATTCAGGAAGAACATATATTTACCTAACAAGTGAGCATCAATTTTCCCCCAAATCCCAGATTTATAGATCTAATTGAGGTGACATTTCAGCTTATTCATGCATTTGGTGTGTTTTGTGCATTCTGAATTCCTTTTCATGATCTCTTACAAAGATACGCATTTTTAAAAAAGACATGAACTCTTGTTGTCTTAAGCAGTGTGCTTTGGGTTGTTTAACTTAATTGTTCCAAACTGCTAAATTATTTGTGGAAATGTAATCCTGAAATGCTGTACAATGCTTACCCAGCATGATGGGACCAATGTGGTAATCCTGGACTAAATAGTTGGTTAGGCAGATGAGTTTTCCTAGCTTGAAAAGTACTGATCAGATCGCCCCAGCAGCATCATTTTCCTTCTGATTGGTACTGATAGGCTGGCAGGCAGCTAAACTGGGTCTGTAGACAGAGAAGAACAAGTTCACGTACACAAGGAAGCATGCAAGTGGCTTGGCCTTCTTAGAAAAACATCAGCAATAAAGATGGAACATATCTCTTGTCATTGGATCATTATGTCCAAGTGGCTGAAGAGACGATTTGGAAGAAAAAGATGTTTTGCCTGAAGACCTTTGAAAGAAAATAGAAACATATTTGATGTCAGATCCAGTTATATTTCCTTTCTATCTATCTTCTCTGATCTAAAACCAATTCTTAACCCTCCCTGGATCCTGCCATACTCCCAAGAGGGAAGGATGGATATGCATGCGGGTTTATTACTCTCACTTCCTCTATTTACTACAAAGTAACCTTTTGTTTATTTGCCCTCGTGTCTGTAACCATTACAGTGTAACAATTTGCCTCTTATCCTATGCCCCTGTGAACTTCTCCTCCTTACCGGGCAGCTAGGAAAAGGGGGGTGAAAAGATACAGACCTCCTGGGGCTTCTGGTTCCGGTTTGCAGCACTAGCAGACGTGCAGTGAGATCGCTCTCCCTGCCATCTGGTTTTCCTTCTTCGGGAGACCCTGGAAAGGGTCGAAAGTCACCCTGGACGGGCGACCACCATTGGGGAGGACTTTGCCAGATCGCGGAGGGGCGGTAGCCTCTCCATTTGATCTGCGGCAACTCCTCAGGACCGAAGAAGAAAAGAGCTAGCCGCACCAGCCGAAAGCCCAAAGCACTAATAAGCCTGATGAAGTAACTGGAGGAGTTGGGTGAGACCTTACCTTCCCTTCTTTTTTTCCCCAACTACTTTCCTGTAAAAATCCTTAAAATACCCTTTTCCCCCCAGCTTAATTTTGCGGCTTCTGCTTACCCCAGGAACACAAAGCCAAGAAACAAACAAACAAAAAAGAACAAAAAGATCAAAAGACCACATACCTGGACTTGTAATACCTGGATACCTGGGCTCCCTAAAAGCTCTGTATTTCTATAAAAACTTATTGTTTTACTTTTTTGCTAAGCTGGAAAAAAAGGGGAAATATTCTTTTGTTTTTCCTCTCTTGAATGGGATAAAAGCTCCATTCTGTATGTTACTAGGGACATCTTGTGGTGAAATTTGGTACAGCAAGTGAAAAAAAATATTTTTTTCTGACTGGGAGACTCCTGAGACTAAAACTTGTCCTTGACAGCAACAAAAGATAAGAACTTAAAACAGCTGGGTGGAGAAAATATCTCTTTACAGTGGAGCTGGATAGTTATTGATTTTTATTAAAAACAGCCTCCACTAAAGGACTATTTGCAAATATTACAGTAATAGAGGAACACCATCTACAGCTTAACGTCAAACTTATACTCGAAAAAATCCTAGAGGCCACTGAGCTAGTGAATTCTAGAATGAAAGACTTACGTGCCACTTTAAAGCTACAAAATGCAGCTTCAACCTCATTAGATGAATTTACATCCCAAAAAGCAATAGAAGAAGAAGAAACTAATAACTAAGTGGATTTTAAAGAATGCCAGCTACAATCTACTCAGAACTCCGACACCCAAACTTTGACTTCACTTAAAGACTTTACAACTACAACAACAGAAACTGAACAAAGCAATGCTAAGATGGAACGTGCAGAGGATTTACATACACAATATACTGAGATTCTAGACAACCCAGATGATCCAAAATAACTATAACACTGAACATGACCTTTCATCTAAGCCAGCCGAAATCAGAAGAAGAAGAAGACCAGTCTGAACATATATGATAAATGCATTAACTCAAATACGGAGACCTAAACCATTTGGCCAACAATTCAATGATTGTGAAGGGACTGGCTTCCTTGATAGGCTGATGATTGGATGGTCTCCCCTGATTCAAATGATATATGCAGGAATGAAGGGAGAGCCACTTGAGGATCTAAAAGCTTTTTTATGGAAGCCGGCTTGGCACAAAAGGAAGGCCAGAGTTAACCTTAAAATAGTTTTCTTTATGTGATATTTAATGGAAGAGCTTTAAATTTTACGTAATGAGATAAAGAGACTTTAAATGATGTTATTTGATTTAATATTTAGGATTTATATTTATAAGGGAAATAAATTAGTTATTCAAATAATTGTTTTGAACTATAAATGGAAGATGGAGTTAGAGGATAAAGGTTATTTTATGAGTAAGCGATGATATTAGAATGAGAATTAGAATATGACTGTGAAATAAACTAAGAATCTACTGGAATAAATAATAAATGTATTTTAGACATGATATTATTTTGCATGAACCAAGGGAACTGTGGGTTATCCAAAACTTAAACATCATTGGACACTAAACCAACAGGAATATTGTAATTGAAACCAGACAAAAGTCAAAAACAGGATCTGGAGACATATAATTTAAAAGTTGTTTATAAATGTTTTAAATGATTGAGTTATAACTAGCAATTTATTAATTTGAATTTGGTATAATAATTAAGGGAAACAGAGAGGAAATTTTTGATGGTGTAAACTGATATATGTATGGATAAGCACGTTACTGGACTATGTATTGCCCAGCCACCACGTTGCTTCCTTAAATATCTGAGGTCTTGTAAAAATGGAAAATTAATAAAACTTGTTTGGAAAAAAAAAAGATACAGACCTCCGGGATCTGGTTTATTTCCCCGTCATCAAAATGAGGTGTGAGGAGGTATTGAACGATCGTGCATAATGGAGGCAGATTGATGTTATCTTTTCTGGATTTAACACCTAGAAATTTGCTGATCTGAACCCGGAAGAACTGTGGGGTGGGGGTTGTTTAGGGACACTTTAAAACATCGATTTGTAAGGGAATCCCTCAGATCCTGTCTATCGTGACTGCTATCAATTTTTCTTAATAAAGGTTCCAATTGGAAGAGATCGTTTTCAAGAGTTCTGCATTCTTAAGATGTGGATTGAAGTGGTTCCTTACATTAGACAGGATCTGCAGTAATAGTAAGAACCTTGCCGGGGGACTTTGCAAAAAAATACAATGTCAGACAACGAGGCAGGGAAGGAAGAAAAGTCCACGGAAAGGAAGCCTTCCCCCAGACCAAGAACCTGACAGCTGTCGGGATCTGAAATGTCATATTCCTTAGGAAAAGAGGTGGTGGAGACGCATAATCACAAACCTCGGTGGTCAATGGGCATTGGAAAAAAAGGCGAGTGGGAAAAGAGATCGAGAAAGGTGACCCTGAGACGGGGCAGCCACCAACCAGAATGGAAGCAGGAGATGGAGAAATCCCTGTACTTTAGCGAAGAGGATGGAAGTTGTGCACAACACTCGAACTGGATCCTAGAGAAAGCTATTGACCTGATGAAAAGAAATCTCAGCTCTCTAGGGGAGGAGAAATCTGAGCCCTTTGGCCACACCAGCACCTAGAGCTGCAGCTAGAGAGACACTAAGGGGGAATTGGAACCTGTAGTCTCAGGGATGTCCGCTGAATAAGTAGCGACCATTTCAGCAGCCCCCACTCCCCACCGACCCGCAGATGGTGATCAGGATGGAAGACATACCACCGACGGCAAAGGCACCGATCCATTCAAAGATTCCTGCCTCTGAACGCAAAATTCAAGGGGGAGCTGACACGCTTGGGTTTTTTCCTAACCCAAGTCCTCAGCTACATGGAAGAATACAAACGGCACATCCCCAGCAACAAAGCCCGTATCCATATCGTGCAATCCGCTCTGGACAGACCAGCCGCAGATTGGGTGGTGAACTTGCATGATTCCAACGCCC